AAAAATAGTCACAATTGAAATTGGGGCGGGTGGGTGGGGCCCAATTTTTTATTTTTTATTTTTTCTTAATGTGTATTGTTTTCTTTCAACAACACGACGCTTCAATAAAGAAATATGAATTTTGCAATTAAGCTCCGCCCTTTGCCTCACGACGAATAAAAAGATTTATCCCAATTGAGATGAGGCGGATTGGTGGGGCTTATTCTTTGCCTTTCTTTTTGTAAATTACGTAGTCTATACTATATTTCAAATATATCGTGTTGTTGAAAACAGGTATCCATTAAGAAAAAGAAGCCAATAATTAAGCCCCACCCGCCCGCCCCTGTCTCAGTTGTGATGACTTTTTTATTCGTTGTCAGATATAGGGGCGGAGTTTAATTGCAAAATCCATATTTTCTACAAAAATTTACTATTTTAAACATGTTTTAAGTTTCTTCTTCTCCTCTTCAGTTGCGGTAGTTCTATTTTTTTATAAAATTAATCACCGAAATGGAGGCAGATGGGTGGGCGGAGTTTATTATATGTTCTTCGCAGAGTGGGAGTGGTAACTGATAAAAAGTAAGCTGTAAACAAAAGCACTAATCGTAACTTTTTTGTTGTACTATTTGTTATAAGATTTATTTTTTATTTCAGAAGAAAAAAAACGAGAGAACGGGTGGATGGGCGGGGTTAAGTTTAACTTTTTCCTTGAGAGTCTTTTATAGGCAAGCAAACGACATTGACTAGAAATTGCAATAAACGGATCACCCAGACTTTTTGTAAATGACGTAGTCTTTTTTCAAGAATAAAATACTTAAAATATCAAATGGTAAATTTGAGGTTAGAACTATGTTTTCAATATCGTGTTGTTGAAAATAGGTATCCATTAAGAAAAATAAACCAATAATTAAGCCCCACCCACCCGTCCCTACCTCAGTTCTGATGATTTTTTATTCGTTGTCAGATAGAGGGGCGGAGTTTAATTGCAAAATCCATATTTTCTACAAAAATTTACTATTTTAAACATGTTTTAAGTTTCTTCTTCTCCTCTTCAGTTGCGGTAGTTCTATTTTTTTATAAAATTAATCACCGAAATGGAGGCAGATGGGTGGGCGGAGTTTATTTTATGTTCTTCGCAGAGTGGGAGTGGTAACTGATAAAAAGTAAGCTGTAAACAAAAGCACTAATCGTAACCTTTTTGTTGTACTATTTGTTATAAGATTTATTTTTTATTTCAGAAGAAAAAAAACGAGAGAACGGGTGGGTGGGCGGGGCTAAGTTTAACTTTTCCTACAGAGTGTTTTATAGGCAAGCAAACGACATTTACTAGAAATTGCAATAAACGGATCACCCAGACTTTTTGTAAATTACGTAGTGTTCTTTCAAGAATAAAATACTTAAAATATCAAATGGTAAATTTGGGGTTAGAACTATGTTTTCAATATCGTGTTGTTGAAAATAGGTATCCATTAAGAAAAAGAAACAAATAATTACCCACCCATCCGCCCCTCCTTATTAGTTGTCAAATAAAAGGGGCGGAGTTTAATTGCAAAATCCATATTTTCTACAAAAAATTACTATTTTAAACATCTTTTAAGATTCTTTTTCTCTTCAATTGCGGTAGTTCTATTTTTTTTTATAAAATTGATTACCGAAATGGAGGCAGATGGGTGGGCGGAGTTTATTATATGTTCTTTGCAGAGTGGGAGTGGTAACTGATAAAAAGTAAGCTGTACACAAAAGCGCTAATCGTAACTTTTTTGTTGTACTGTTTGTTATAAGATTTATTTCTTATTTCAGAAGGAAAAAAATAAGAGAACGGGTGGGTGGGCGGGGCTGAGTTTAACTTTTTCCTAGAGAGTGTTTTATAGGCAAGCTTACGACATTTTCTAGAAATTGCAATAACCGGATCACCCAGACATTTTTATTGCTCCGACTTCTGCGTATTAAACAAAATACTGGATTTTATTTTAATTTTAGATGTTGTAATTCATTTTTGGTCAATTATAACTTGTCAAGGTCTAAGGGGAGGCTAAATTCAGGAACTTACATTTCAAGAAAAAAATAGTAGAAATCATGAGGGCGTTTTTGATTACATTTCAAAAGTTGCCAAAAAAATCCCAAAGGTCCTGGGGTACTAACAAAAGTCCAAAAAATTGAAATATTTCAGTGGGCGATTCGGGAAAATCAAAGAAATGAGGCCGAAACTAACTTCTGTAGGCCGAAATATATAAGATAAGATGTAAGTTAAGTTAAGTTAAGTTTCCAAAGTCGCCGAAAATTGGACAGAATTTTCATTGCCAAAAATTTTATTAGTTGTCAAAAAATTTCCAAAAATTCTGGAATATAGATTTCGATCTGCTGATTCCAAATATTGGACGTCTTTATGATTGCTGGACAAGATTTTAGAAATATTCCGTTTGGAAACCAATTTTTTCAAAAATGCAGAAAATTACGAAATTTCAATTCTGGAAAAATGGTGGAAATCATCGAAGAAATGCGAGCGAAACTAACTTCTGTCTATTGTTAAGTTTTCAAAATTGGTCGAAATTTGGCCGAAATTTCATATTATAAAAGATTTAACATTTCCCTAGGGAAGGCTCAGCCTGTCTTGGCCTCCCCCTAGCTACGGCTCTATCTATGTCTGAAACGTCGAGAAAATATGAAAGTACCAATTCGCCCGATGGACTCCATTACTATGCTTCCTTAGCTTACACGCAATAAGTAAAAATCGCCTCTCAGCAATCAATAAAAACAACTTAAAGTGTTTATGTTGATACATCGGACGAATGTCACGTAGAAATTAGTTTGATTTGAATGAGTTTACCGCCTCAAAACACAGGACAAAAATTATTAATTAAACCACAATCGAACAAGATGTTCGGAATATTATCATTATTCATATTTAATCATAATTAAAAAGAAAAAGAATGTCAATTTATATAAATTAAACACGTATACGCGGTGAAGTCATTAATTTTCTCATAAATAATAATAAAAACCAAAAATATGTTGCATTTGTATTTTTTGACAAAATGATGATTAATGATGATGATTGGGTTAATTAAAGTAAATATCCATGTACTGTCAATTGTTGTTATTATAAAATTCTATAGACTGGTGTCGGTGTCGGTGTCAAACTCGACATCCTATTCCGGCGCGCGTCGTATACGTGTTCTATATACGAAAAAAAAGGAGTTAAAACTTCAATGAAGACGTGCTCACACGAGGGTTGAACGAAAATTCGACACGGATTCATAAACTGCACATGTAGGAATTTTATTTAATGCAATTTAAAACCCATTTACTGTGTACAACTTTGCGATAACGTCATCGGAATGTTGTAGGGGATGATTAGCCAAAGTTTGATTAGCGTTTTACCATCTACAGGATGTTCAAAATACACATATAAATTTTGACGACAATCGGTAGTTTCAGAGATTACCTAAAAAAATTGCGTGTCAAAGTATTGAAAATTTTACAAAAAAAATTGAACTGAAATCGGTATTTTATTGCCATTTAAATGTTAAAATAATCGTGCCGCAAACTATTGCCATTAAAGTTTCTGAACTTTAATTTGTTATTTTGTTCATAATATTCATTATTGTACGTTTGCAAAAACGAAATTTAAATCTTTATTTTAGTGACAGTGCAATTTCCGGGCGCATCCATCATTTATTGATCCCTAATTCATATAACTGACGACTATTATTATTAAATAAAAAAAAAAGTGAAAGTAGCAGCACGTTATATAAGTTTTATCATTAAAATTTGTGCCTTCAGTTATTATTAGGCTCGTTATAATTATTAGGTTCGGGGCGTTCCAAAATTTCTTGCCCTGTAATAATATTTGATTATTATTGTTAATTTACAAAAAACGTTAAATGTTTTTTTTATGGTGTTAATAAAATTTTTTGGCAAAGCGGTAATATTGATTATGATCAAATCGAAAAAAAAAATAATCAGTACACATAATAAATAAACGGAATTTAATGCTTTATTTTAAAAACAATGCAATTTCCCGGCGCATCCACCATTTTTTGATCCCTAATTCATATAACTACTATTATTAAATGCAAAAAAGTGAAAGTGTCAGCAAGTTATATAAGTTTTATTGTTAAAATTTATGAACCTTTAATTATTATTCGGCCGGTTATATTTACTGACGTGGGGTTATTATCACAAAAAACTTTAAATGCTAAAATTTGAAGTCTGAATATTTTTTTTTTGTAATGCTAATTATTAAATTGTAAAAAATGAGTTTGGAGTGTAATAAAATAATCAATAGTTTATCAAGTGGAGTGAAATTTAGTCGTTTTCCGGGTCTGGTGGTCATTGCAGTTTCCCGGCGCATCCACCATTTCTCATTTAGTGATTTACCTTTCGAACGGGCGTTATCAGAGTGAAAGTGCAGATACGCCGTGAGCACGACGAGATAAATTTGTCGTCGTTGAAGAAACTATCTGAGGAATTTTTGTAATTCGATTAAAGCAGTGTTGTTACTCGGAGGCGTTTTTAAAGGCCAAGTCATCTGTGCGTCGGTGTCGCGGAAATAAACAAGAAATTTCTGGCAATTAAAGAGCGTTTTAGCAAATACGAGCGCACCCTTGAGTGACTTTTAAAACACGAAACCTGATGAAATTAATATGTAAATAGAAGCAACCATTCTTGGATGAATGGGCAGATTAAATATCGCGTTTCGTGAGGTTCGGTGAATGGATCGCATTTTTCGTCAGCGTATTTATTTTATAAATGAGCCCGAACGAATTAACGCAGAGGAAATATTTTTGGTGCGGTTATCGCCGGAAATGTCTTTGGAAGCGCTATTTCTCTGAAATTTTTGCACGTGCCGGAGCTTTGCTGTTGGATCTTAATTAAATCAATTAAACGTGACGCGATTTAACATCGTCAACGGCAAGATCGGGATGATGTGTGCTTCCAGAGCGACCATAAATCGCGCGTCATCGCCGCAGGTGCGAAACAGCCGTTAATTGGCGCGGAAGCAAAACACTGCCACTTACCCTAAAAGTCACCTGGAGGACCTAATCGTGGCACCGAAAGTCCGCAAAAGTTTCCTCTCGCACACGGAAAACGCGCACTCTTCTCCTCACTTTTCGCCCCAAATTCCGCTACATTCCAAGAAGCGAGCTCGATTTCGCGACGCACACGTTTTCCAGGTGGACCGAGCGCCGCGACGCTGCTAAGACGAAATTCCGACTGATATCTCCAGTGAACCGCTCTTCTGGAGGCTGGACACCAGGGGGCGCACGCTTGCGCGACCTACGCCTAACTAGGAAACCCTGAACAGCCGGCCACTGAAATTACCGCCTAGTTTTTACTTGCCGAGCAATAGCTGAGAGAAGAATTGTTATAGCGACGCTTCGACGCGCGGTCTACAGCTCGCAGAATACGAAAACGCAACTTTTACGCTCCCGACGTTCCGCCGGAGCTCTCACAAACTCGAAGTTACGGCGGAACGCGCACTTACCGCTTTTTTCGCAGCTAGCGAAAATTTTAACAAGACTCGCGTCATTTTATTTTCGCATTTTTCGAATGATCTAATCCTAAAAATTGTTGCGTGAAAATGTCTTAAAAAGAGACAGAAGAGATTTTTCTACTATATTTTGCACATTTTAACATTTTTTCAATATATTGTAGTTTAATATTTATGTTTATTCAAAATTAACAGAAATCGCGGAGAAATACCGTAGAACAAAAAACATTGACATAAACATCTCAATTTTATATTAAGTATTATAACATTTTTGTTTAATGGGTTAAATTTTTTAACCAAAAATCGTCAAGTTTATTATTACGCACAAATGTCGCAATTACTGAATTACCTGAATTAAACATTAAATAAATATACATGTTTATATTTCGTACATTTTTTTAATCTACGAAGTCGTCTTCTCCCAACAAGAAACTAAAAACATATTTAACTTTCGTGTACACAATTATATTTCTCTACAAAAATTTTGAACATGTTTTAAGTTTCTTGTTGTGAAAAGAAGACTACGTATATTAAAAACAAAGGGCAAAATATAAGCCCCACCCACCCACCCTATTTCAATTGTAATGATTTTTTTTTATTCGTTGTCTTTTAAGAACATATTTCACATGGTAATTTCTTGTAGAGAAATGAGGATTTTGCAACTAAGCTCCGCCCTCGACTCACGATGAATAAAAAATCATCACAATGGTGGGCGGGGTTATATTTCGTACATTTTTTCTTAATATATGAAATCTTCTTTTCCCAACAAGAAACTAAAAAATGTCCCGATCTCAATTACCATGAATTTTTGATTCGTTGTCAGATCGAGGGGCGGAACATAATTGCAAAATACATATGTCCCTACAAAAATTTTGAACATCTTTTAAGTTTCTTGTTGTGAAAAGAAGAGTACGTATGTTAAACGCCACCCCCCCCCCCTTTTCAGTTGTAATGACTGAACGGCGGAGTTTAATTGCAAAACCCATATTTCTGTACAAAATTTTACTCTTTTAAGAACATATTTCACATGGTAATTTCTTGTTGAGAAATCAGGATTTTGCAGCTAAGCTCCACTCTCGGCTGACGATGAATAACAAAAATCATCACAATTGAGAGGGGCGGGTGGGCTGGGCTTATATTTCGTAATTTTTTTTTTAATATACGAAATCTTCTTTTCCCAACATGAAACTAAAAACATATTTACCTATCGTGTTGTTTAAAGAAAACTATATGTAACTAAAAAAAGTCTCGATCTCAATTATGATGAATTTTTTATTCGTCGCCAGACCAAGGGGTGGAGCGTAATTGCAAAATACACATTTCTCTACAAAAATTTTGAACATGTTTTGAGTTTTTTGTTGTAAAAAAAGACTACGTATAATAAAAAGAAAATGAAAAATTAAGCCCCACCCACCCACCCTCTTTAAATTGTAATGATTTTTTTTTATTTGTTGTCGGAGCGAGCGGCGGATTGCAACATCTATATTTCTCTCCACATTTTACTATTTTAATAACATATTTCACATGGTAATTTCCACTAGGGAAATGAGTATTTTGCAACTAAGCTCCGCCCTCGACTCACGATGAATAAAAAAATCATCACAATTGAGAGGGGGTGGGTGGGCGGGGCTTATATTTCATACATTTTTTTTAATATACGAAATCTTCTTTTCCCAACAAGAAACTAAAAACATATTTACCTACCATTCAAAGAAAACTATATGAAACTAAAAAAGCCCCGATCTCAATTATGATGAATTTTTTATTCGTTGTCAAACCGAGGGGCGGAGCGTAATTGCGAAATACATATTTCTCTACAAAAATTTTCAACATGTTTTAAGTTTCTTGTTGTGAAAAAAAATTCTACGTATATTGAGAAGAAAGGGCAAAATATAAGCCCCACCCACCCACCCTATTTCAGTTGTAGCGATTTTTTTTATTCTTTATCAGACCGAGGGGCGGAATTTAATTGCAACATCCATATTTCTCAACAAAATTTTACTCTTTTAAGAACATATTTCACATGGTAATTTCTTGTACAGAAATGAGGATTTTGCAACTAAGCTCCGCAGTCGGCTCACGATGAATAAAATATTTACCACAATTGAGAGGGGGTGGGTGGGCGGGGCTTATATTTCGTGTATTTTTTTAATATACGAAATCTTTTTTTCCCAACAAGGAATTTAAAATATTTACCTATCGTGTTGTTCAAAGAAAACTATATGTAACTAAAAAAATTCTAATGAATCTTTCATTCGTTGTCAGACCGAAAGAAGACAACGTATATTAAGAAGAAACAGCAAAATATAAGCCCCACCCACCCACCCTATTTCAGTTGTAATTATTTTTTTATTCGTTATCAGACCGAGGGGCGGAGTTTAATGAAAAAATCCATATTTCTCTGCAAATTTTACTCTTTTAAGAACATATTTCACAAGGTAATTTTTTGTAGAGAAATGAGGATTTTACAACTAAGCTCTGCCCTCGACTCACGATGAATAAAAAATTCATCACAATTGAGAGGGGGTGGGTGGGCGGGGCTTATATTTCGTACATTGTTTTTTAATATACGAAATCTTCTTTTCCCAACAAGAAACTAAAAACATTTACCTATCGAGTTGTTCAAAGAAAACTATATGTAACTAAAAAAAGTCCCGATCTCAATTGTGATGAATTTTTTATTCGTTGTCAGACCGAGGGGCGGAGCGTAATTGCAAAATACATATTTCTCTACAAAAATTTTGAACATATTTCAAGTTTCTTGTTGTGAAAAGAAGACTACGTACATTAAGAAGAAAGGGCAAAATATATGTCCCACCCACTCACCCTCTTCCTTTTGTAACGATTTTTTTATTTGTTGTCATACCGAGCGGCGAAGTTTAATTGCAAAATCCTCATTTCTCTCCAAATTTTACGCTTTTAAGAACATATTTCACATGGTAACTTCTTGTAGAGGAATGAAGATTTTGCAAATAAGCTCCGCACTCGACTCACGATGAATAAAAAAAAAATCATCACAATTGAGATGGGGTGGGTGGGCGGGGCTTATATTTCGTACATTTTTTCTTAATATACGAATCTTTTTTTCCCAACAAGGAACTAAAAATATTTACCTATCGTGTTGTTCAAAGAAAACTATATGTAACTAAAAAAAAGTCCCCCTCTCAATTCTGATGAATTTTTTATTTGTTGTCAGACCGAGGGGGGGGAGCCTAATTGCAAAATGCATATTTCACTACAAAAATTTTGAACATATTTTAGTTTCTTGTTGTGAAAAGAAAACAACGTAAATTAAGAAAAAGGGCAAAATAGAAGCCCCACCCACCCACCCTATTTCAATTGTAATGATTTTTTTTATTCGTTGTCAGACCGAGCGGCGAAGTTTAATTGCAAAATCCATATTTCTCTCCAAATTTTACTCTTTTAAGAACATATTTCACATGGTAATTTCTTGTAGAGGAATGAGGATTTTGCAACTAAGCTCCGCACTCGACTCACGATGAATAAAAAAAATCATCACAATTGCGATGGGGTGGGTGGGCGGGGCTTATATTTCGTACATTTTTTTTAATATACGAAATCTTCTTTTCCCAACAAGGAGCTAAAAACATTTACCTATCGTGTTGATCAAAGAAAACTATATGTAATTAAAAAAAGTCCCGATCTCAATTCTGATGAATTTTTTATTTGTTGTCAGACCGAGGGGGGGGAGCCTAATTGCAAAATGCATATTTCCCTACAAAAATTTTTAACATATTTTAAGTTTCGTGTTGTGAAAAGAAGACAACGTAAATTAAGAAAAAGGGCAAAATAGAAGACCCACCCACCCACCCTATTTGAATTGTAATGATTTTTTATTCATTGTCAGACCGAGCGGCGAAATTTGGAGAGAAATATGGATTTTGCAATTAAATCCATATTTCTCTCCAAATTTTACTCTTTTAAGAACATATTTCACATTGTAATTTCTTGCAGAGGAATGAGGATTTTGCATTCGACTCACGATGAATAAAAAATCATCACAATTGAGATGGGGTGGGTGGGCGGGGCTTATATTTCGTGCATTTTTTTTAATATACGAGATCTTTTCCCAATAAGAAACTAAAAACATTTACCTATCGTGTTGTTCCACCAAATCCCGTTTCTTTGAAAAATTATAAAATTTTATTTTGCGATTTTTGTTTAGTGGTAAACTGTAGAAAATACACACCAGCGGCATAAATAACACCCCCGCACACAATGTATAATAGAGTTAAAACAGATAACCAACAGAAAAAATGTGCTCTCAGTAATAATAACATGCTTAACTTCCAGGATTTATCTTTATACATCGAAAGAATGTCACGTAGAAATTTGTTTAATTTGAGTGAGTTTTCTCCTCAAAACAGGACTAAAATTATTGATTCAGCCACAATCGAACAAAACGTTTAATCCTTATTAAATAAAGACGTACGTATTTTCAGATTTTCGGGAAAATGGACTCACTCGTACTTAATTTATTAAAAAAAAATAGAAAGTGATTAATTTGATTAAATATATTCCATCTAGTGAAAGAAAAAGAGATGCAAAATCCATATTCGTCTACAAAAATTTGCCACTTCAAGTTTCATATTATGAAAGATGACTACGTATGTTAGGAAAAAAAGGCAAAATATAAGGCATTTTAAACATGTTTAAAGTTTGTTGTTGTGAAAAGAACACTACACA